TATATAATGTATATAGTGCTCATATTTCAGTGTAATGTGTTGCCCTTTCAGTCAGAGTTTCTTTGTCATTTAATTTAATTCTTTAGTTCTCTTAAGAAAAAAAAGGCTTTCTAGAAAATAATTGTAGCCCTTCTCTTGTTTAATGTTTAATCCGTTGTAAAACTAGATGAAATTTTAACTATATCATGATGCAAATATGTTTTTGCTGTCAAACATGAAGTTCAAAATAATACCCCACTCTCAGAAAAAATTACAACTGCATTTTTTGTTTGACCTGTAAGCCAGTCATGTAGATTTACAATGCTGTGTGGTTAAATCTATACTTAGCCTTTTCTAGTTGTACAATACATAACTCTGTGCTCTATGTGAAAAGTACAAGAAAGAAACATGAAGTTAATTACTCCAGCCCGGCTAGCTCAGTCGGTAGAGCATGAGACTCTTAATCTCAGGGTCGTGGGTTCGAGCCCCACGTTGGGCGCATCAATTTTCCCTCCTTCGCCCCGCACCATGAAAGGCACTGCAAAATTCACGAATCTCTTAACCCTGACCTCTCCAAAGGTCTCAAAATGACTGCCAAGTTCATGGCAAACCCCAATGCAGACATGTTCCTGTTTTTAGTATTTTATATTGCTTTGTAATGTATCTGTTTTTGTTCGTTTTTTATATAATTTGTTCCTTTTTATTTATTCTATTTTTACCATTGTCATCTGTGTTGTGCTTAAAACAGGTCTCTCTTGTAAATGAGTTCTCGAGGCTCAATGCGACCTTCATAAAAGTTGAATGAAAAATGAAAACTTTCGAAAAATATAAATACAATACGTTCTCCAGACTTTTATTTTGAAAATTCATTAATTCAAACTTTAGTGTCATTGAGTCAAACGACTCACGAGGACTCATTTACAAGAGATAACTTTTTTTAATCAGTCTTTTTTTTAATTTTTTTATTTGAACATACAAAACAGAGAACAAAACCCCCTCCCACACCGGCTCAGTCACACATACAGAGACCTGTTTTAAACAAAAACCGCAGATGAGGTACATACAACAATAAACATTCATATAAATGCCTGTGAAATGAAAAGTAAGTAAATAAAAGAAGTGATACCAAAAAAAAAAAAAAAACCCGCTATATTATAAAACTGTAAAATACTAAAAATAGGAACATGTGTGCATTGATTTTTTTGCATTGATTGAACTTAACAGATGTTTAAAATCCCTTACAAAAGTCAAGGTCGAGAGCTTCGGATCTTTTCCAGATGTTCAGGTTAAGAGCCGAGAGACATTCAAAAACTAAACATAAATCATTGTCAAGCAGCAACTGAATTATTACATTCTTTAAAAAAAATATATCAGAAATTCCTGTTAAACAGTTTGTTTTAATTGTATTTTTAAGTAAAAGAAAAGTAAACTAGCCGAGAGAGACAGAAAAAAAGAGATCAGGTTGACCGGATGTGACGTCTTTGATCCAGGAAGTTGTCAGAAAAAAAAAGATGCAACACGTGTTTGAGTAAACTGCAGATTGAACATGAGTTTCAGACCGAAGCAGGTAGAAAGAATATCTTTTATTTTTCACAGTAACGTATTTCTCAGTTAGTTACGTTTAATAGGAAACTATCGCAGGACTTCTCCCGGTTGTTAAAAAGCCCGAGGCAGTGAACGGTCGAAGCGTTAGCTTACCGGGTGGGAGGTCAAGTCAAAGAACTGAACGAGGAAGCAAGTTCCCCTTGTTTTTGACAGTTGTGTGTTTCCCGCTTTTGTTTTTTAATATATCCTTTTGCTGCCTTTTCTTGCTCGTTGCCAACAGCTTTTTGAGGTGGCCGTTTTGTTTAGGCCCGGGCTGTTTTTAGTAAATCATGGCAGACTACCTCATTAGCGGGCAGACGTGTTACGTTCCGGACGACGGGCTAACTGGACGGCAGCTGTTCAACGGTGGAGACGGGCTCACATACAAGTAAAGACACGCATTGATGTCCTTGTATAAAACGTTTAAACGTAGCTGGATGTCAGTTACTTCATATGCCTCCCACTGTGTTTTTACTCATTCTAATAAAGAATTGACCAAGTTTTAACTTCACTATCAGTGTGTAGTTGTTCTAAAATTACACGTTTCTTGTAAATAAATACAGAAACCAGAATTGCCTGATTTGTACAGCACAAAACTTGTCTTTTAAAATCTATTTTAGGGTCCCTTGCTAATGAAAGTGGTGTCAGATTCTTTTAGTCCACATTGGTCCTAAATATAGGACCAGTCTCATGTACAGTAGTCCTGTGTTTATTCAGGAGCATATTTAGAGCATCTCTTTATTTTTAAAAGAAATGTACCATATTCAAGTTTATTAGTTTACCAACTAGAGCTCAGTTTATAAATAACAATTATATTAAATAGGCAAAGTTTTAGGAATTTTGTGAAAGCTAAGACACCAAGCCACAACGTCTGCAGTTCATTTCTACTAAGATCAAGTTTGGTGTTAATTTAAACCAATGTTGTTCAAGCAGATTTGTTGCAATAAAAGTGGGTCACTTTAGTAGCTGGAGTTTATTCTAGGGAAATCAGCCGATACTTGCATGAGAAACCGATTTTACCGTTTGTTTTTTTTTGTTTTTTTTTTAGTTTTAACAACAATTGTCTGAACTTCATTTATATTTCAGAGTACTACCTCATGGCCAGTTAAAACAAGTTTGTATTGTTTCTAGGATATTGTTCAAGGGTATGAAAACAACAAAGTCCATGCACAATAATCCAGGTATACAATCCAACATTTTTCAGTCAGGTCATCTGGACAGTTTCTTTTTTTGTGCTGAAACGTTTCACCTTCGATCCGGAAGGCTTCATCAGTCAAGGAAACACACAACACAAAACTGATTCTTCCCCCAACAGCTTACTCCAAAGTGGAACAAACCAGTTATGTTGGTGCTAAGATGATTTCTTTGGTACGCCCCCTCCTCCATTGCCGGCCCTCTTCCTTGTTGACAGTCGTGTCAAACTGGTTGAAAACAACAAAGTCCATGCTCAATAATTAAGGTATAAAATCTAACATTTTTCAGTCAGGTCATCTGGACAGTTTCTTTTTTTGTGTGCTGAAACGTTTCCTTGACTGATGAAGTCTTCCGGATCGAAGGCGAAACGTTTCAGCACAAAAAAAGAAACTGTAAAGATTACTTGACTGAAAAATGTTGGATGTTCAAGGGTATGTTTTTTAATAAAATAATATTGGAAAATTGAAGGTGCATTGTGACCTTAAAACACCTGACAGTGTCGCTTATAAAACTAAATCAGGACTTTTTAGAAATCTGTGATCGGCCAGAAAACTGCAATCGATGCACCCCTAGTTATTTCATTTTAGTTTCTCAGGAAGTTCACTCATGCATACAATGATTTACCTGTAAATAATTTCAACTGACCATTAAATTTAACTGCTACATCCAATTGTGAGATAAAACACATTGGAATTAAAAAAAAAAAATTTTTCCTGCTTTTGGAAATGAACACTTGCTAGCAGTTTATCTGTTTAAAATCAGGTATAGGTGCTAACTTGATCTTTTATAAATATACTTAAAGATTAACCCGCTCTCTTGCATGAACAAAATCATTAAATATTAGTAAGTAAAGTTTATTTATAGAGCACTTATCACAGACAAAAAAAATCACAAAGCGATGTACAGTAAAAATCAGCTATAAAATGTACAAAGAATAAAACAAGCATAAGAACTTCAAGAAGCACAGTAAAATCATGACATAAAAGCCTGGGAGAATAAAAGTGTTTTCAGTTGAAGGCAGACAGAAGGAACAAACTAAAGAAAATGTCTTATTGTGAGCATTGTTTTAGTGGCAACTTGGACTAAAAGAAGAATTTTTTGTAGCAGTTGTATATCATTTTTAATGCTTATTGTGAGAGTAGTATTGATTGATTGGCTGCCTTTCACTCAGTTTACAGGGTGTTTTTCTATTTCAGTTATTTCTGGTCTTACTGGGCTTCACAGCCACTCTCACATTGTGTGGGTGCTTCACATTCCTCTGAAACACAACACCCTCCAAAGGATCCTGGAAAAGAAATTTACGTCATGTCCAGCTTGAAATTATTTTAGCCTTTTTTTTTTCCCCCTATTTGTTTTTGGTAAACATGCTCAGTCTTTAAAGCCACAAACAACACAAATATAGTAATGTTTCATTAGGCATTTATAATATTTCTTTACAAATTTAGATATCTTACCTTTAAAAAGAAGCTCAGCAAATTTAAGCACTTGAGATTTTTTTTGTTTTGTTTTGTTTTTCTTAAGCTTTTGTTTCAGCTTTTATGAATAGATTCCTAAATTGTCTGTCAGTTCGTTCCATTTTCAGTTTTAAGTAGGAAGAAGTTTGATGCTAATTTAAAAGAAAGAAATTGGAAAATGTGTGTATTTATTAACAACCTATTCAAATGTGTCTAATTTCTCTCAGTGACTTCCTGATTCTGCCGGGCTACATCGACTTCACAGCTGACCAAGTGGTGAGTGAAGAATAACGCACATTTGCTAACACACAAAGTCACATTTGAGCTGATGTCATATCAAGCTAGTCAAATTTTGTTACGTATTTGTGTGAGAGTATAAAAGAGCTGAGAAAAAAGCTGCTCTGTGCTTCTCATAACACAGTTTTTACCCCCAAAATGACCCCAATATGTTTGTGAATCTTAATAAAGTAAATTTCCATGACTGATGTTCTAAACTTTGAACTGTTGCTAAAAGGTAACTATGTTATGGCAGAACAAGAGGTTCAAGAGTCTGTAGACTAGATGAGGACCATCACATTTATCTTTATACACATACTAATGTGCATGCATGAATTCGGGCACCACATGCTCAAATACATTCGTAGCTACTTCCAATACTGAAGGTTTGTGTTCAACTCCGGCTTTTTGGTCCTTTACACCTGCGTTTTTCTTTTACATATAAACATATAGTACTGGTATTTTACATTGTGATAGCAACATGTCCTCAACATGTTATGGTGCCGGAAGGACTGCAAAGCACAGCTAAAACAAATGAACACTGTTTAGAGTAGACTTAAGTGTAGTTCAAAGAACCAGAAGTAGGCATGAGTACATCTAAACCACAACGCTGATGAGTTTGAGCATAAATATGTCTGAAATTATTCTTAATTTGTTCAATTTAACGGTTTATGTGTGGGCTTTATGTGCCATGTGGTGACATTATTACCGTATTATAAACATTATAGAAAAAACAACGTTGTTGCCTCTTTAAAATTACATTAATAGTGAAATTTTAAAGCCTTTTGCTTAGTTCAAGTTTTGACGTATTCTCGCTGTATCTCAGTACAATGTTAATAAAGCTTATTCTGATTCTGATTAGTTTGATACCAAATTTTGTTGATTGCAAACTATATTAATATATAGTAAATACCACTTTATGTTCTGGATTTTATCTGTATATTGTATGAATGTGTTGATTCAGACAGTAAGGTATTGTGAAATCATTTTGACGAGATAGAAACTATTAGAACTAGTTTCCATGGGTTACAGTTTTTAACAGGGTGCCTAGTGACTGTATATCAGGGAAAGCCTGGAAAATGGCACATTTTCCATATAGGGAAAACTCAGGGAATTTGCTTCTGTGTTGATTAAAGGTAATCTTTTTGAGATTTTGCCGTGTACATTGCCTGACTTATGTATGAATGAATGAATGATACTTTGTTGTTTAATAATCCTTATATGTGAGGCATTATATTCTGTGTCATTGTTATTTGAATGGTATGTTATAATGCTTTGGTATCACTGGTGCCAGTAGCAGCCGGCTGCTGTTTCTATGACAAACATGTATTCATGTTAATATTCTAGTATCACTGAGTCCATGTTCTGATTTTACAGTGTACATAGTACTGACTGGCTATGGTGGCTTTTTAGTATCTTGATGTTATACAATACATTGTATTGTATAATTGTATAAATTGTTAGGAATGAGTTTTGTAGTCGCGTAACGGCCAAAACGAACGTCATAATTCACTGTGGTTTCTGTTGGAAACAGTATCAGGACACCTGCTATTTAAAAGTTTATAGGTCAAGCCTGAGTATTGGTAATTGTTTTTTTTTTTGTCCAGGACTTGACATCAGCACTCACCAAAAAAATCACAATGAAGACCCCTTTTGTGTCCTCCCCCATGGACACGGTGACAGAGGCAAACATGGCCATAGCCATGGCAGTGAGTATTCTGAAAAACACACATTTCTTGTTTTATCATTCTTGTTTTGTGAAGTTTACGTCTGGCAAACACACTCTTGTGCATTTTCTTCTCAGTTAACGGGGGGCATTGGCTTCATTCACCACAACTGTACTCCAGAATTCCAGGCCAATGAAGTTCGAAAAGTCAAGGTAATAAAAACTCTGTGCACATTTTTTGCTTGTTTGTTATTTCATTACTGTACTCTGATCTTTAATATTCATGTAACTTCATTTCCATCTCTTCTTTCAGTCTCCCATCTGTCTTTTGTCAGTGTCTTAACTCCTTTAACCCACTGGAGTCAGTTGACGCACCGGCACATGATAGTCTCATGACTGATTTAAATCGCTCTAACGGGAAAACTGCGTCCTCTCTGAGAATCCGTTTCAATTTCTGTCAATTGTCTACACTTCAAAGTACACACCAGTTTTAAAATTGTCTTGATAGGCCAAGTAAAACCAGAGTTATAATAAATAATCAATGCCACATGTTTTTTTGAAAATAATTGTCATATCTGAAGCGTGTTGGAGCGAGAGGCTGCGGCAAAGATGGGAAGTTTCATGAAGAAAACATCTCCATCTCCCTCTGCTTTCACCTCGCACCCCCACTGAACAGATAAACGACCTCCCTCCTCCTTTATGACGGAGGCCCGAAGTTATTTGTCAAGTGCCAAAAAATTTACAGGAAGAAGAAGAAAGACGTCGAAGTTGAGTGGAGTTCGGCGCGAGATAAAGTCACCGTGAACGCGGGAGGTTACAGGTTAGTCACAGGTTAGTCGTGAGGTTTGAGAGATTTGTGATATTTAGCTTTAGATTTATAGTTCGGTGTAGTTTAGTGTGTTTAGTTTAGTCAGTTTTAGAGCGTTTGAGTAAAAACGAGGCGATTTTTACTGTGAGGAAGGAGCTATGGACCCAGAGGATGACGAAACCACAGAGTCAGAACCTCTCAGACAGAGGAGAGGATCATGAAGGCAGGGATGGAGTTGAAAAACAGTCTGAGTCAGACAGTGAGGACTTTGTTGATGAAGTGCGTGATTCTTGATTCGTTTTAGAAGAGGAAAAGCGCACCGAGCCCCACAAAGGTCTGACTCTGGGCAGAGAGCGGGGAACGGTGCAGCACGCCCACCACGTCCAGAACCCCTCTGGCTGGACCAGCAAAACCAAGCATCAGTTCTGAGCTCTGGAGAACAGAAGAGGATGTGGATGTTGACCAAGAGGTTAATAGGTTCCAGTAACGGAGAGCACCAGGAGTCCAGCTAGACACACTTTCTCCTCAGAGTCCAAAATAATATTTTTATTATTAAAATTTGATTTATTTATTTTTTTGCTCTGACCCAGTCTGGACAATCTGCAGTAACACCAACAACAAGGCACCAAAAAATAAAGAATATGAAAAACAAAACAAAAAAACAGGCATGGAAGATTTGTATAAAAGTTTTGATCTCCTGATTTACATGTTTGTGTAAATATCTTGTGAATAACTTGTGCCAAGTATCCAGGATCCGTGGAGACTGAACCACATTTTATCTGTGCCCCTTTCAGCCAAAATAATGACACAAGACAGATGCAGATCCAGATGTTGGAACATTTTCCAGACTGACCTTAGGAGGACATAGAAAATAACCACAAAAAAAAGGATGTAATGTGCCCCTTTGCCTTGTTTGTACAGAAATAATTTATGATTGGTACAAATGATTTATAGCATTTTATTGTAACACCCCATTGTTTTTCTCCAAATAACGCCCAAGAAAATAGCTGCTTTTCAATGGAGATTGTGAATATAACTTGGTTGTTAGCAATATTTGCACAAATTTTTATGAATATTACAGTTTTTATTTGCATTTTAGATTTAGAAAATAAATTATAAATGTAGTTTTCACAGTAAAACAAACAACAACTTTTCTTACTAATTTTATGTTTTTTGTGTGTGACGAATTCACACATGGGAGGTTGTGCTGAACAAAATGACACCAAACATGGCAAGTTAAGCAATTTTATAGGTTGAAATATTAATGTAAAATCAAAACAAGTGCGCCATTGACTCCAAAGGGTTAATTGTGATTAGTAAAGTTTAAGTTCATAGATTTATCCTCACATTGTCTTTTCTGCATGTTTTCTGTTCTGAATGCTGCAGGCAGTGTTCTGGTAGTAAGACCCTGTAGAATGGTGTTTTCTCAGCATGGCTTGATTCCCAGCTTTAGTGTGTAGGCAGTCATCACTTTTTTTAATTCCCTTTGTTGCTCCTTCCTCTGCTACCCTAATTCTTCCACATCCCCACCCGTTTGTCCTCCTGTCCTCTTCCACCCACAGCGATATGAGCAAGGCTTTATTACAGACCCCGTGGTGATGAGCCCCAACGAGCGAGTGCGAGACGTCTTCCAGGCCAAGGCCCGCCATGGTTTCTGTGGGATCCCCATTACAGACAATGGCAAAATGGGTAGCAAACTGGTGGGAATTATCTCCTCCAGAGATATAGACTTTCTGAAAGAAGAGGATCACAACCTACCACTGAGTGAGGTGAGTCAAGCAAGCTTCGCCTTCAACAGTTTTTCTGTTTTAAAGCAAGTGCTTTCATCTTAAAGCACAATAAAACTTTTAATACCATCTATAAATAGAGGATGGACACAGACAGACCTTAATGACCGTTAAGGTGAATGAGTTACTAGACTTTAATGGCTTACATTATAGTTGGGTGTGTTAACGTGAGTGCAGCGTTGACAAATGTAAAGTTTTCAGTTCTTTAGCACTAACAAGTGTGTGTTTTAGGAAAAAAATAAATAGTCAGCTGGTTTCTGTTGTTAGATTATGACCTGAATGACTTGTAATCTACACGGAGAGGTGGCTGATCTGCAGTCAGTGCTTGTGGACAGCCTGAATTTGTTCACAGAGTTTAAAAATTACACACTTTTATAATTTTTGCTTCCAAAAGTATTGGGGATCAGGATATTTTGCTAACTTTATTCTGTTGACAGGTGATGACAAAGCTAGAAGATCTAGTGGTTGCCCCTGCTGGAGTGACGCTGAAAGAAGCAAATGAAATCCTTCAGAGGAGCAAGAAAGGTGAGAAGGAAGCTATTTTTTTAATAAAGCATGTTTTATTTGAGCCTAATTAACAATTTATAAAACCTAAAAACACATCTGGGCGTCACTGCTTTTGCATGTTTTTACCTTTCTGGTCCCTCTCCCAGGTAAGCTGCCCATAGTGAATGAGGAAGGTTCCCTGGTGTCCATCATCGCCCGCACAGACTTAAAGAAGAACAGAGATTTTCCTCTGGCTTCCAAAGACTCTCGGAAGCAGCTGCTGTGTGGCGCTGCCATCGGCACCCACAATGACGACAAATACAGGCTGGACCTGCTGGTACAGAGTGGGGTAGATGTGGTTGTACTGGTGAGTACCGTAATTCTCGGACTGCAGAACGCACCTGTCTCTAAGCCGCACATATTAAATATAAGATAAATCATAATTTTGTACATAAATAAGACGCTCTGGTTATTTAGCCACGGTCATCCACCGTTCATCAACAGGAGCTGTGCCCCCAACCTGCTCCGTCAGTGTGCAGCTTTCTTGTTGTAGTACAAGAGTCAGCCACCAGATGGCGTTTCTCAGACTATATTTTGCTTTCAACTGCTCAGACTGACGATCATCACGAGTCTTCGTGAAGTTTCGCTGTCTGACTCATGGTTACAACCATTATACCTTCAAAATGAAAACAATAACTATCCAAGCATAATCACTGGACAGAACTGTGCCAAACACGTACGTAACTGAAATTATTTAAAAATGATATACTGGTAAATATTACCCAGAAGTCTTATCAGGAGGGGGGAAGGGGGAACAGCCTCTCCCTCCTGTAGTGCTCTTCCGTTCTGTGCAGAGCTTAAATGAGATACTGGTATTTAAACACATATTTACCGTACACAGAATAATAAAAAAAAACCTTTTATTTAAATATGTATCAGTCTTGACCTACTGTTTAAAAATAAATCTGACTTTACTTCTCCACCGCTGAGCTGTCATGACGAAAAGGGGAGGGGGGGGAAGAACCCCTCCCGTTTGTTGTGTCCTCTGCTCCGTTTCATGCGTTCGGATGAGAGTTTAAAATGAGCTCCCGGTATTTAAACGCATGTTTACCGGCACAGAAAGATGCCACACAGAAATAATTAAATTTTATTTTTTAAATGGAAGTCTTTCAAAATAAAATATAAAAATATAATTTTTGAAATTTATGAAAAAAATACACAAATATAAGACGCTTCCACATAAAACCGCAGGATACAAAGTGTGGAAAAAAGTAGCGGCTTGTACGCTGGCAATTATGGTACTTTTATTATTTGACATACAAAAGGAACTTTTTTTTTTTTTTTTTTATCAGGACAAACGGACCATTTTCCTTCAAGGACTAGCAGTAGAGTTAATACAGATGTTTATTGGGTTTCCAAAGAACTATGCAAACTTGTTGTTTTAACTAGTTTTGCTGTGCTGCCATCAAATAAAGGGGAGTGGTGGCGCAGAGGTTAGAGAGGTGGGCTTGTGATCCGAAGATCGCCGGTTCACGCCCCGGCCCCGACAACATCAAAATTGTGGGTGGGGTAGGTTAAACACCCACACTTGCCCCCACCCTCATTCGCCCCACTCTGGGCCCATGAGCAGGGCCCTTAACCCCCACCATGGGCTCCCTAAACAGGTCTCTCTTGAAAATGAGTTCTTGTGGCTCAATGAGACTAACCTGTATAAATAAAGGCTAAATAAAAAAAAAAATATGTAGTGAGCTTTGTGTTGTGGTGTCATCACAAACATTCAGTTCTTCATCTGTGTATAAGAGATCATCGTTTTGTTGAAGATCAGTCTCTATCGGTTCACAGTAGGAGCCAATTTAGTTAAATACAAAACTCACTTGTTTGTGTTTCTAAAAGGAGTTGTTTTGTGGGTGATGAAGACGTGTGTCCTCTGTACCACCAGGACTCTTCTCAAGGCAACTCAGTCTTCCAGATCAACATGATTAAATATATCAAAGAAGAGTACCCCAACCTGCAGGTCATTGGAGGCAATGGTAACTACACTCACGTGGATTACACACGTGGATTACACATTTTGAACTTAAAAGTATTTGATTTAAATGTATGAACTTGTTGGTCCGTCCATCATTATTCAGCCTCTAACAGTTTCTCTGTCTCCACCTGTCTGTGACAGTGGTGACTGCAGCTCAGGCTAAGAACCTCATTGACGCAGGAGTGGATGCTCTGAGGGTGGGGATGGGCAGCGGCTCCATCTGTATCACACAGGAAGGTGAGCGACACATGACTAAACTCTGCAGACACCATCTGCTACATGATCTGTTCCCATCCACAAAGAATTTCTCTGGTAATTTAGAGCCTTGGAACCAACCGTTGCTGCAGTTTTAGTAGGAAATGAATGACTGGAGAAGGGTTTTTTATATATTTGGGGAAATTATTTCATTGGGTTTGATTTGACATCGAGAAGGATCCAGTTACTGAGCTGCAATTGCAAGGTGTTGTTTTGTTCATTTGTTTTACATTTCAATGGAAGAGAACCAGTTCTGGCAGTGTTGCTTTGCAGCAGGATTTGAGAAGCTTCTGTTTAGTATAGAGGTGGTAAAAGGATGTGCTTTCAATCTATTTGGTGTTCAGTGTGTACATTATTTTCTCAGTAATTTTAAAATCAATGAAGTTTGTCTGATCTTTTACTAGACTTAGCATTTGTGCAGTTAGCTTTGTTGTTCCTTAGTTTTCAAGAAAATACTTAACCGTATTTTCTGCCGTACATGTTGCATCTGTTATGCATCGCCACTGACCACCCGGAAATGTGGGCCGGTGTTGTGCCAAAAATCGATAGGCTGCCAAATGCCGGCCGCGGGAGCGTGCACGGGAGGACTTTAACAAGAATTTAACAAGATTAACACTTAAAAACAATTATTTGTTTGCTCGAAATTATAGTAAAGGTGTGTCTCAGTTTAACTTTTCCTTAATCAATGCACTTTGACGGTCAAATCAGCTGCATTTCAAACGCCGATATGCGGAAGCAGGAGCGTGCAGAGGGAGGACTGGCTGCGCATTTCTTCAAAATTTAACAAGATCACCACCTAAAAACAATCGTTTGCTTGACATTATAGTAAAGGTGTGTCTCAGTTGAACTTTTCATTAATAAATGCACTTTAATGGTAAAATCAGCTGCACTTTGCCGGAGCGGCTCAGCAAATTGAAATTGATTTGACGGTTGCTCCAGGTATGATCCCGGAGCTGGACAAATGTGGCTGACTTTGGCAAGCCAATTGTGTCATTAATAGCCACTTTTACCTATTACATGACACAGCGGCATGCCATACTACTCGAGTGCTATCTAGTGGCTGAAAATGGTAATGTTCAATATTTTCAGTCAGCATGAATGAGTACGGTCATATCTAAGCCAAAAATTGGTTTATAAATATGGGAACAAAAACATAAATGAGTCGCAGGGTGTGCAAATTCTGCAAAAAACTGTGACTTATAAGCTGGAAACTACGGTACATTTGAAAAAGTTGGTTTACAAACACAATTTGGTTGAATTTTATAATTCTTATTTATTTCTTGAAACTTATTTCTGTGCTTCTTGTCTGACTTCAGTTGTGTTCTTATCTTAACTGTAAAAGCAGTAGTAGTATACTTTTTATTTTAATTTATTGTCTTTTGTCTTCATCTTGTTGTCATACCGATTCCTCTCCTTTCTGTCTGCTGTCTCCCCGTGAAAATCTGTCTCCCACCTTGTTTGGTGTGATTGTTTGTGTCCATGTCCAGCTCCCCCTATTATACCGCCAGCTATAACGCGCCGCAGCCCCAAAACCCCAACCACTGTTACAGGATACTGCAGTAAGTTCTCCTGCTGGCTTGTGTTGGGTCTCGATTGGCTCGATTATTATTGTGCCCCCTCCCACATCACAGCCTGCTGCATTGATTAGTTAACAGCTTTGCATCTGTAGATGTAGGTTTTTAAAGCTAGGGGGTTTGGGGTTTTGCTCATCCTCATGTCCACATTAATCTATTAATAAACACATGAATGAAGTTCTTCCATCATCCATTTTACTGACCTTCTGGTGTCTGGTTTTGATGATGTCATTAGACTGAGACGATTAGACTATTATATTTAGATACCTAAGGGTCAGATAAAGTAATTTACTTTTAGTTGCTGTGCTGACCACTGTGCCAACTTAATGTTTTGAAACCACATTTTTAATCTAACACGATTGTTCTAACATTGAATTTGTCTGCAAAGGGTTGCTCAGTGGTATCATTTGGAATTGGAGTGTGTTTTAAACGAGCCGACGTAAGTAGTTGGAAAACATTGAATGTCAAAACGTTCCATCACCTTTTGAGTTGTAGCTTGGCTGATCATTTTTGTGCACACCTGCTGTGTGGAGGTGGAAACACTAGCTAGTGTGCAGCACTAAAATTGTAAGATGCAAAACAACGTTGGAGATTTTGGTGTCTGTGTTTTGTCGTGGCGGGGTTCCTGAAGTTTTTAAGTTTTTCAAATTCGGGGACTTGCTGTGTTCCAGTAAATGGATGTAGAGAAAGGCGTGATTTGGGTTTAAACTTTAGGAAATAGTATGATGTTTCTCTGCTGATGTGGCAAGTTTAACTTCCTCATTCTCTCATTTTATCAAACATTAAGACACATTGTTTATTCAGTGTGTGATTTTTTTTTTTTTTCCTTCCCCGTGTGACTTCCTGGATATTTTTGTTGCATGTACTCACCACTTATTTGACATTTTTATGTGGTTTATTTTAAATCAGAATACAAGCTGGTAATTCCTTTTATGCACCACTTCATAGTAGAAAATGTTACATCAAAAAACAACTGTACCAAAAATCATCTGACTGGTACTGGGTATTTATGAAAATATATTAAGTAGTTATTAGACCAGATAGGTTAAAATTATAAAAATCCAGTTCATGTTGAGACTAACCTTTCTTTGTGTTTGTCCTTTTTGCTCTGACAGTGCTGGCATGTGGCAGACCCCAGGCCACAGCTGTGTATAAAGTTTCAGAGTACGCTCGGCGTTTTGGTGTCCCCGTCATCGCCGACGGAGGCATCCAGACTGTTGGACACGTCGCCAAAGCACTCGCACTGGGAGCATCAACAGGTAAGGATGATGATGTCGTTCATTTCTAAACAGACTGTTTAACACAGATGGATAAAGATCCATCTGTGTTAAAATACTACAATTGACAAAAGTTATATTTAAACTTTTCTCTGGACATAATTGGTGAAACTCCGATTGCTTGTCTAGTGAACAGAAAACCGACCATTAAAAAATGTACTGGTGCATCACACTCATATTGAAGCATGTTTGGTTTGGAAGATTTAAAAATTAAATACATGTTAACTTTTGTTGAAAAGGCATCTTTAGTAACATCTTACATGGAGTCACTAAGAGCAATAAGTTCAAAGGATTCAGTTGAATCTGTCTTGTTGTACAGCTGAGGGCTCGCGGTCAGTTCTGTGTTTTTACAGTCCAGTTAAAATGATTTCAGAAAGAAGTGACTCGTGTAACTAGCAGCTTATCACAGCCTGTTGGATACAGCATTACATCTACTCCTCAGGTGGTTTTAGTTTAATAAGGAATGACTTTTTAGTGAAGGAGACTTCATATCAATGAATAAGTGCCTTTAGCAAACTGTCAAAAGCAATTTAATTATCAGATGTCTTCAGATTAAAATATACCAAGAAGCCAATTTAAATGTAAAGAAATAGAGTGGAAAAAAAATCCTGACATAAAAAGGTTTTTTTTTTTTTTTTTTACTTGATTCACATTATTTTACTTTATTCAAAAGTAAAAATACTGAATTTTACTTCACGTAAAAAAAAATCTTCTCCTTTAAAAATCAATGTTTCTCCTAATATGTGGTGCAAATAATTTTTCAGTGATGATGGGCTCTCTGTTGGCTGCCACCTCTGAAGCTCCAGGTGAATATTTCTTCTCCGACGGCATCAGGTTGAAGAAATACCGTGGCATGGGCTCCCTGGACGCCATGGACAAAAACCTCGGCTCTCAGACCAGATACTTCAGGTATGGAAACCTCCGGAAGCATACGGTGTTAAAAAAACAACAAAAAAAGTTGTCCACTTGGCATATTATGACTATTGTTGTAAAAAAAAAAAAAAATTCCTCTGCCAGTTTTCAACACCTCTTCCTCATTTCATTTTCATTTTTTCTAAACGTCACAAGTCTTGTGGTAATAAATGATGACCCCGGTATAAAAGAGTAGACGCTTGAGCAAATTTTAAAAGACAATTTAGACAAAAGGCCACTCTTAGATTTATTTGTAATTCATTCAACCTTTATTTAGACAAGTAAATCCCACTGAGCCTCGAGGACTCATTTACAAGAGAGACCTGATTTCAACAAAGAATGATGACAACAACAGACAACAGCGACTTATTACAGTAAAAAAAAGAACCTACTAGGTAGGAGTAAACAGGCCGTGGAAACTCCTGGTATTAGTGACAGGGGAACGAAAATTAATAAATATTTTGTTCTCCACCCGTTGCACCCCAGATCTGCTTTTTCACACTGCCCGAATTGACTGAGACACTTTGTGCACGGTGCAGTTTCCATCCTGCTTTAACATTGTAACTCGTAAGATAACGGGCACCTGTGGCTGAGTGGTTAGAGCAGTTGTCCTCCATTGGGAGAGTTGGGGGTTTGAATCCACCAACAGTCACATGCTGAAGTGTCCCTGAGCAAGACAGTGAACCCCTCATTGCCTCCGATGTGTGTCCCATCAGTGTATGAATGTGATAAAAGCACTGATTGATCTTTGTAGAGTTGTAGTAGAGTTCTGTATGACTGGGTAAATGAGGGCACAGACAAAGTGCTTTGAGTATCTTGATACGAGGTGATATTTAAGTACAGTCCATTTATCATTTAACATTGTTTCCATGATAAAGACTAATGCTATCAAAACAGCACTCTACTCACCTTTTATATCTTCTTCCTCATATTCCCTCACAGTGAGAGTGACAAGATTAAAGTAGCTCAGGGTGTCTCTGGAGCGGTGCAGGACAAAGGCTCCATCCACAAGTTTGTTCCCTACCTGCTCGCTGGAATTCAGCACTCCTGTCAAGACATCGGTGCCAAAAGCCTCACTCAGCTCAGGTAAAGACTTGTAGTTTGTCCAGTACTTGGAAGTTTAACAAGAATTCTGGGATTACCCAGAATAAGGACAATGGGTAATAGTCATTAATAATGATCTCAGAAAAAAACACAGTGTCTAGAATTGTACAGTTATTTTTATTGTAACTTGGTGAAATTGGCAATTTCATCTCACAGATGTATCTATTGCTTTTTTTTACTTATTCCATGTACAGTCATTGTATCCAACCATAACTACACATTGTGCAGTGTATGCTAAACGATAAGACAAGTAAGAGTAAAGCTGGAATCCAGCTCCTCCTCACATAATGAATCAAGCTCACACTTCCCAACAGAGCTGCACGATCGTAGAAAAACTTGTGATGTGATTAAACTAGATTTTCCTCACTCTTTACTTTCTCTTCCATCATCCGAACCATGAGCCATCAAGTCCACTCACTCTCTGATTGACCACATGAACGCACGACACTTGAAATAAAATGGCATATAATTTATTAAGAGTCCAAGCAGTCTCTTGTTTGACTTGTGAAGATGTTTAGCTTCTCAGATGAGTGAAGCGTCTTTAAAAGTAAACTTGTGACGATATGCATCTTTTGGGCCTGACACATTTTTTTGTCCTCCACTTCTATTCCTTCCTTTTTAACTCGTTTTCCTCTTCTCAGAGCTTTGATGTACTCCGGAGATCTGAAATTTGAAAAGAGAACGGCCTCGGCTCAGATGGAGGGGGGAGTCCACAGTTTACACAGGTACAAGGACGTGTTGGTTCTGCACAAATCCACTTCACAAATCTTTAAAACTTAATTTTGCTTGGTTTCATATTTCATTTTCTTAGTTTCATGTGTTTACCACAGCCAGACAAGCCTCGAGTTTAACTTCCTCTTAGTTCCTCCATTTTGGCTGCGTCTCCCTTAACAGAAACTTTTCTGATTGTCGTGTGGTCTTCTCTTCTTCCTCCCAGTTATGAGAAAAGGCTCTTTTAAACAGAAGCAAGTGTCCAGATGGAGAATCCTTTCAACAGATAAACACTACAGACCACACTCCAATTCTGCTTCTAAATTTAAATAGACTGAAGTTGCACACTTCACTTTCCCAGGACCCATCAGTCTTCCGGCCAGCGTCATCTATGCATTTATTGAAGGTGTGCCTAGAAATGAAAAGAGGGGCTTTAAGCACTTATCAATCAATGCATGCATGATTGAGTCAACTTTAAAAAAGAAAAATGTGCTTTTATGTTGTAAATGTTGCAAATATATTGCTGTGTCCACTTTGAAGAGAAAATGTTGTCCACCAATAAAACCTACGTGTTTTTCAACAAGTTGTCTTTGGTTTTTGTCTAGTTGTCTAACTTTGCTTAGCATCTTAAAAAAAAAAATGAAGATATTTTTTAAACAATAAGAAGGCAAATTCTTGTTTCTGGGTTCTCGTTACATTGAAGGAGATTCATATCCTGGACGTGCTGCAGCTTGTAGAAGAGAAACGTTTCAGTTCACGTGATGCAGACAGCTGTTGAACTTGACTATAAACGGATAGAACGGCCTGAGAAGCTTCTCCAGTCACCAATTAATCTGGTTACTGATCACATATCAAACATGCACCTTCAAAGATCTACAAAAGAAGTTTAAGCTTCAGACTCAGGCAGCTAAAAATCTAGGGGTTGGATTAAAATACATTTGTAAGAACAACTACAAAAATGTAAACTACCATTTTAACCTATTTAAGTTTCGAAGTTGCACTAAGGCAATTAAGTGACACAGATTTGACTTGATATAGCAGAATGAGCACAGGACTAACTGAAAGATCCAGTATACCTTGAAGGAATGCAGATCTTTCATGCCAGAGTTTCAAACTAAGAAGATGAGGAAATACAAAGTCAAAGCTCCAAAACCTTGAAAATGTGAGTGGTTCAGTGTGTTGTGAATGACTCAGCTATTGCTGCATCAAAACTCTTCGACTGAACAGTTGTAGGGATTTGTGTTTGTGCCAATGGAGATGAGTTGTGGCAAACATCTAGAAATGGATTGACGCATTAATCAGTTACTGAGATTAAAGTTTCATTAAAACTCATTCGGTGGTTTAAGATGGACTTTGCTAACAGGCAAACTGACACAATCGCTCGCCTTGGATCAAGATAGGAAATAATTAGCTTAAGTTTTTTCTTTTGGACACAAGAAGTTAATAAATTAACTGGGTGCATTTGGTCCTAATTGGAATGGGCGTGGTGGTGCAGAGGTTACCATACCTTACCATTTTATTTATAGAGCACTTAAAACAGCTACAAGGCCAACCAAAGTGCTGAACAGACAGAACAACAGACAACACACGAAGCAATATACAAAATGAAGTAAATCAAAAATAAAGACATAAAAATGATGCAGATAATAAATATGACGACAAACCAGTGTGGAGCATACAGGTTCAAAACACAGATCCTCTGGTGTTGAAAGCTACCGAATAGTAGTGAGTTTTTAAATGGGATTTGAAAACCGAGAGGGAGGGGGCCAGTCTGACAAGCAGAGGTAACTCGTTCCAAAGTCTTGGTCCTGCTACAGAGAAGGCACTGTCCCCTCTGCGCTTAAGATGAGTTCCTGGAACTGTGAGGAGCAACTGGCCCTCAGGGAACGTGGTGGGACATACGGTTGTAGCAGAACAGAGAAATAGGGTGGGGGTGGGGGGCGAAACTGTTCAGCGATTTGTAGACATCCAGGAGTATTTTGAACTGGATTCGAAGGTGAACCAGTAGCCAGTGCAGTGAGGCCAAAACGAGTAATGTGCTCTCTTTTGCCTTCTGGTTAAAAATCGGGCTGCTGCATTCTGGACCAGTTGTAGTCGTGCAAAGGAGGTCTGACTGATACCAAACAGGAGTGAATTGCAGTAATCAAGCCTAGACGTAATGAATGTATGTATTATTGTCTCCAGGTTATTTTTGGACAATATGGGCTTCAGTTTAGACAGCCGCCTCCGTTGGAAGAAACATGATTTAACAATCATGTTTACATGATTGTTAAGTTTCAGGGAAGGGTCCATTATCACTCCCAGTTTAGTGACTCTTTGTTTTTCTGACAGGGTTAGAGCGGAGAGGTCTATGCAGTGGTTTGTGATCGTGTCATTGGGAGGGAACAACATGACTTCAGACTTCTTTTCATTGAAACTCAAGAAGTTTAAAGCTATCCAGTCCCTGATGTCAGCCAGGCAGTCGAGCAGAGGTTGAATAGAGCATGTACCATTGTGTCTTAGGGGAAAGTAAATTTGACAGTCATCGGCGTAGAAGTGAAAGGGCATGTTGTGTTTCTGGAAAATGGCACCAAGTGGCAGCAGGTATAGAGAGAATAGGATGGGACCCAGGATGGACCCCTGCGGAACCCTCCATTTTAGGTTAGAGAAGGTAGGCCTGTGATCGGAAGATCACTGGTTTATCTCCAGGTACCGACAACATCAAAATGTGGGTTGGATAGGTGAAGCACCCACACCTGCCTCCACCCTCATTTGCCCCACTCTGGGCCCTTGAGCAAGGCCTTTAACCCCCAATGCTCCCCCGGGCGCCCTAGATGGCAGCTCTGCTCCACACAGGGCTGTGGCAGCTCGGTGGTTTGTGGTTGTGTCAGGAAGGACATCCGGTGTAAAAACAGTTGCCAAGTCTTGGTGCGACTTAGTTCACTGTGGTGACCCCTGAAGAAGAGAGCAGCTGAAAGAAGAAAAAAAATGGTCCCGAACAACGAATTTAACTGGAAGAGCTTCTTCATAAGAAGACTCAAGTTTACAAAGTGTTCAAAGAAAAAAAAAAAAAATATATAAAAACCAAGTTAATTACTGCTGCAGAGTTTATACTGCGAAACATCTGATCAAAGTTTGGGCCTGATCTTCTCCCCTCCCACCTCACCTTCATCCTTCCTGTTTGAGATCTCCTGAGAGGATCAGGCGCTCCTCGAAATTCACCGGACTTTCCAGGCTCAACACCAGATGGACCTGATGGGAGTTGTCCGTCACGCTTGACTGGACACACCTGTTTCCATGTCATTCATCATGCAGCCCACAGACAGGTCTAATGAAGAACAGGGAGGAGAACTCTGAGGGCTCAATTACCAAAATGGAAAGATGGGGACTTCTGACATGCAGTTTATCAATATACACATTACAGTGCCAATATGATATATATCCTAAAACACTTAAAATAAACAGATTGCTAATTTAAAGTGTTTATATTAGTATTTTTACTGCTGGCCTGTACTGACATTTTATTGTACTTTCAAATGAGTTAATTGGAAGTGCCTGAAAAGTCAGGACTATTATGAAGTGTAACTGTCATGGAAAAAAAAAAAACGTAGTAAGTCAATCATATGTTCTCATCTGAAGGCAGATTTAGCTGTTATTGTACTTCACAAACTTAGAAAAAACTGAAACTGTATTTACTGTAAAAAAAATTGGAGGAAAAAAGATTTGATCACAGAGCAGCAGATGAATATGAACCACGAGACGAGTCGTCTAATAAATCTCTGCTTAAGACATTATTTTTATGACTTTTAACTTCATACGAGTATGAGACGTAAAAAAGGCAGATTTAAAAAAAACCTTTTGTTAGGTTGTTTTTTTATGTCTCGTTATTTTGTTGCTTTTGCTGTTAGATTTTACCATTTCATTTGACTAAATTGTAAAAACACTTTGGTCAACTTCTATCGTTTCAATGCTGAACAAAGAAATGTGTCAAAGACCAATAAAAATAAATCAAAGAAAATTTACTATACAAGCAAAAAAAAAAAAAAAAATGCATACAGAGATTTTTTTAAGTTACGCATAACTAACAGCAGAATGTCAATCAAATTTACAATAACCTTTGTGATTTTGAGTTTCACTTATCGATTGTGAAATCTAAATGTTTGCAACTTACAAGTTTAAAAGGTGAGTTAAAACATTTTTACGTTTAAGTTACTTTTGAGTAACTTTATTTAAGTACGGGTAAATTAACAAAAAAACTGTGAAAATGAAAGTAAAAAAACTTGACTGGTTGGCAGAAATCCCAGCAATTGGCAGTAATTTTAGTTGATAAAGCAATAAATATTTTCATTCGGACATGAAACTGTTGAGTGTTTCTCAAGAAAAAACTCTGCAATATATACATACAGTATATATTTATAGTACTTGCCGCCGCACACGTCACACCGCAGTATAAGTCGCATCAGTCCAAATAAGTCCATTAAAGTGGAAAAAAAAACGTGTCGCTTCACCGTATAGGTCGCATCTATTGTCTCCAATGATCATAAACGTGGGCCGGTGTTGTACCAAAAATCGATTGGCTGCCAAATGGCGGACACAGGAGCGTGCACAGGAGGACTTTAACAAGAATTTAACAAGATTAACACTTAAAAACAATTATTTGTTTGCTCGACATTATAGTAAAGGTGTGCCTCAGTTGAACTTTTACTTAATAAATGCACTTTAATAGTCAAATCAGCTGCATGTCACCTGGGCGGCGCAGCGAAATGCAGCTGATTTGACGTTTGCTCCAGTAGTTCTGGAGCGAGACGAAGTGCTATGGCAAGCCAAGTGTCTCATTAATAACCAGTTTTACCTATTAATAATATGCTTGACTTGCCATATTACTCGAGGACCCTCTAGTGGCTGAAAATGGTAGTGTTCTACATTTTCCATGTCACAATGAATGAAATCCAAAAACTAGGTTACAAATATGGGGGGGGAAACAAATGTGTCGCTTTGCTGTATAATTCACAGGCATGCTAATTTATGCAAAAAATTGCAACTTATACAGTGAAAATTACAGTAAAATATTCAATCTTTATTTATACAGGTTAGTCTCATTGAGTCATGAGGACTCATTTTCAAGAGAGACCTGTTTTAGACATAAAAAACAGATGAGGTACACACAGCAATAAACAGTCACAAAAAGTAAATCAAATAGTAATGCAAAAAATAAAAACAAGCTACATCATGAAACGGGGCAAAACACTAAAAACAGGAACATGTCTACATTGATTTTTGCATTAATCTTAATTGTTTAAAATAGATATACATCAACATAATAATAATAATATAATATAATGTAGATATACATATACATACCGGTATATATATTATGAATGAACTGAATGAAAGAAAAATATGTTCTCTTAAGATATAAAATTATAATTAAAGTTCTTGCTGATGAAGTAAATTTTCAAACTACATGTGCTAGTTTTGGTTTGATCAAGCTTTGAATGAACGCTGGTAAGAATAAAAAGGCCCACTGAATAGTAAAAGGATAACATGAATTGACAGGAAGGCAACAAAAGTG